GAATTAGCCATTCATTTGCAGAAGTTATACAATATTAAATTTACCCCCAAAGGGTTAAAACCATGTCCCATTCTTAAAGTAATAAAATTAGAAATCTATTTTATTAAAAATCAGACTAAAGTGATATTAGTTTGATAAATATTTTGTCCAAAGATCACAAGCTACTGACCAACAGAACAAATTTAATATATGGGTGCATTTTGATTGGCTGCAGAAAATTTTGAATTTTTCTTTAAAATGCAATGATTCAGTGAAGCATGTCTTCTATGTCTCTGACAACATTTCTCATTGTCCCCTGATCTGTACAAAAACTCAAAGTGTAGGATTTTTTTAATTTAAAAAAACTTGTACTACTACAAATCCAGTAAAATAAAAATACTTTAGGCCTCTATCTGGGCTTTTCATCATGTATTTGATAAAGAATTGGTATAGATCTCTTGGAGGAAGAAATCTATCTCCTTGGATAATGTATCGATTTTACAATAGCTCTCTGACTTGGCAAGTGTTCTTTATTAATATTTTTGCATGTATTTCTTCCATTATGCAAACAAAAAATCAGTTATAGTATTTCAGAAAAAAAGGGAACGTTATTACAGTGTTCCACGTGGAAAATTAAAATATGCGAAGTACATAAAAAAACTTAGATTTAATTAATATCTGATCACTGACTTAATATTTGTCCTTCTGGATATTTTTATATTTTTTCAACAAATAACTTCAATTATCTTTAAAAATATACCCAAATTGAGATTCTCAGAAACTGAATGGCAAACAGAAAAGTCAACAAGAACAAAAAGTTAGCCAACCACAGAGATTCTATTTGAAGTGAAAGAATCATTCAATACTAGCAGTAAGAACACGTTTTGTGAGACAACATTTCCAGTTTTCTCTCATTTGTTTCACAAAAATCCCAGGGACATGGTGGAGAGATATGAACTCAGACCAGACAATCATGGAGTTCAGTTCTTTCTCTATCTCTTCACAACATGGAGGCCTTGAGACACTTACTTATCTCTCTTGAGTCTCACTCTTCTACATTATAGGGTGCTTGATAATCAGTCTGGCTTATAGATAATGGGAAACACATCATAGTTTGATAGACTCTCTAAATTGGCTGACCCAACTTCATTTCCAGATCATTTCTCTTTTGCCTCCTTAAGGTGTAAAAGCTTATAAAACAAACCAAAGAACTTTAATTTCCTAGCCTCTCTTCCAAGTAGAAATGCTGTGACAGAGTTGTGCCAATGACAAGTTGATGGAAATACCGGGAAAGAGGGGGCAGCAAGGGGAAGGGCATTTTTTCCTTGCAAACAAAAGCAAAGCTTATGGAAAAAAATTAGAAAGTTGAACACATATAACTGAGTGTAGAGGAAAGAAACTTTTAAACAGGAAGAATCTCTCGTTCTTTGCCTTCTTCACTTTTCTTACTGTCTTTACCTCATAGATGCCCTCTAAAGATAGAGCAGGCATCTTAAAATCACGAGCTAATAAATATGGTGGTTTAAAAAACCCAATATGTTAAGGGCAACAGAGCAGAAAACCAAAAGAACCTGAGTGCTCACCAGTACTGCTGTGTCACTGTTCCAACCATGGGCTGTTCAGCTCCAGACTTATTGAAATGTGAGGGAAAATAAGCCCTTCCTATAAGAGCTAGTTGGGTTTTCAGGTTCTCACAGCAAAATGCAATGCACATCAAATATTTAGTAAAGCTACTCATTATTATTTTTTGTCTGAAGCCACTTTAGTAGCAGGTAGAGACAGATGTAATATAAAACTCATCAGAGAACTTGACAATGACACCCTACAGCTGCTTGACAAAAAGTAGACTACCAAGAAATGCCATTGAATTTGAATTCCGATTTATATTACCACTGAAGAGACTATGAAAAGCCTCACACTTCAACTCCCAATTTTTCAAGACAAATTTGAAGTGCCCATTTTTTAGGAATTGTAATTGAGATTCCTCCATTCTGTGGTAACTGATGATGTTGCTGCCGCATAGGGAATAACTCAGTGTCAACTGTCATTGCAAAGCAAATCTGAGACACTCTATAAGAAATACCCAAAAACAACTGCATTTGATCTTGTGCCTAGAAATAACATGGCACATTTTATTACACTCAACTGGTTGGAATGGAAAACCAAATTAGCATAATGAATGACTGCTATGAAAAAAATTGGAAATGTGAACATATACAGCTAAATGTAGAGGAAAGGAACATTTAAAAGAAGGTAAATAGTGTTATATAACTGAAGGTCCTTCAATAAAATTGATTACTCAGCAGGGATTTACTCAGTGTCTATTATGTGCAAGGCACTGTAGGAGAGGCAAAGGTATATGAAACAGTATGCCGGTATCAGATTCCATAATGACTTGGGAAAAATGAGATAACAGAAGTTTGATATTCAAGAAGAGTGAAAAGGGGGAAACAAGCAGCAGAGCACAGGTGGTTAATGAAGGGTGCTCACTGTGAGCTAAGGTAGTTGGGATAAACCTGACTATAAGAAAATAGAAGGATTTCCATTGGTAGTACAGGAGACAGAGAACTTCAAGTGAGGGAAATTTTGAGGACCTGGGCAATGAGAAAGAAGGGTGTAGCCTTATTAACTGAGAGTGAACAGACTACCTGGCTTGTCCTGAGGCTGTAAGAAGGTTAGAAGGTGAAATGGAGCCTATAAAGTGGGTTGTGTGGAGCTTTTTCAAGTGATTCTTAAATAATTTGAACTTAAACCTCCTTAACATGAGCTAAGAGCATATGACAAAATGCTGCAATTGTGTCTCTTTAATTTTAATAATGCAGTGACTCCAAATGTCAGAAAGTTAATAAAATTTTTATTACAGAAACTGTCTGGTTTTCCCTCCTAGAACTCTCTTGAAACTGCTTTATAACAGCCATCTAGCAGTCTTTCAATTACAAAATCCAAAGGGCACATCTTGGTCCCCATCTTACCTCTCTAAACTTTTGCTTATCTCATTTTAATGCCTCACCATTATTTGTCCGTCTCGTTTAGTGATTCCTCCTCTTAGTTCCTCAAATATTAGTATACTTACTTCTCCCCTCCCTTTCTTGTAGCTTGTTGAAAACTTAGCAGCCAACAATGATGGAACCAGAATTTTAGCTGAGATTTAGATGATTCAGAGCATACTGTCTTCATTTGGACATCTCTGAATACTAATTTCTTACTGAAGGCAGGACAGGGGCTCAATTAATAGTCGTCAAATTAGTTCATTCAATATTCATCCACTTATATTAAATGATATTAATATTTAAATGTAACTTAAAAATTAAATTTATTTAATTAATTTTATTTAATTATGTTCTAATTAATTAAAAATTAAAGCCTTCTGCAATTGCATAATTCAGAACTGATGACTTTTCAGCCCCAGGGAAAATTTTTTCTAATTTTTCCCCATTTTTGAGGATTCTGTGACCAGAAACACTTTGCCTATTTCAGCTACTTCTATTAAGAAGCCATTGTATTTTATTTTTCCATTATTTTTTAAAGACATTTAACGGGCAGGCAAGACTTCAGACAAACAAGAAAAGAGCCTCAGTTGTGAAGTTGATTGATGCATGGACTCAAATATTATATTAAAATATATCTTACCAATGATAAAGATATAAGCAGGGTCTTACATTAAATTCTCTAAGTAATGCTAGCCTTGAGCATAGAAGCTAATGGTGGCACGTTTTATTTGTCTTGGAAATAAAATATGTGTCAAAACTATGTGTCAAATTTCTCTCTTTTTCTGTCTTCCTCCCCTCCTTCACACAAAGCAAACAGTCATACACACCACATCACCAGCTGAAAGCTATTGCTGGTATAAATACTTTGATTTTGTACTTATTTTTTACTAGTGCTATTTACTGAAGTAAAGTCTTCATTGTACTCTGTATCTTGTTGGCTTTTTTCTATAAGATGTTTTTTCATTTCTGATAAGACCCATAACAACAAGGTGGAGATTAGTAACTACGGTAGAAGGCCACACTATCTGTCATAAGCAGACCGTCATATGAGCTTCTACAGGGAACTCATTTAGCTAACACACATCCTTCGATGACATAATAAAGGATCAAGTCAGGCCATGTGCTCATTGAGAGTTTTCTGGTGCTATGATACAATGCTGCTTTAGTTACACAGTGACATTTTAATGATTCTCAAATGCTCACCTTAAAGTTTTAAAAATACCATATATTAAGGTGTGTCTTTCCTGAAAGACATGCCATCAATTCATGAGTTTCAAGGTGTTTTCTTCATTAAGTTAAGGTTATAAAATGAGAAAGAAACATACATTTCCTTTTGGAATCATTTTACAATAAGCTAACTTATAATAGCTACTTTGCCCTTGGAAAATGCTATATCCTTTTGTGAGACACACGTAATAAGATGGCAAAGGGGAGAAAAGACTGTCTTTGAGTGTTCCATATCTATTAGATACAATACTTAATTTTATATGAAAGAATCATTTGAAGAACCAAGACTTGAAACAAACTTCTACTGTGAGGTGGGGTAAGGTACAGCATCCATACTCATTTGCAACATTTCATTCTAACAACCACTAAACTAGGGTTCTTAACATCATACCTAAAATAAAACTTTACACTTCTGATTTTGAGATGCAACACTTTTGATGAAACTGAAGTACTTCTAAATCACATCATTTCAACTTCATTTATGCTAACAATTAACTTTTTGCCTAATAAAATGAGGTGGCATGAATCCTTATATTGTGATCAATTGTTTTCTTGTTCTCACCTAGTAACATAGGAATATGAACTTCTGGTTTCTGTCAAATGAGTCATTGTGACAAAGACAAGAATGTAAATGCATGTGTGCTTCTATGATTTCAGAATATGCATCAAATACTGACTGGTAATAGTTATGAATATTTATCAGTTTTCAGTTATTAAAAAGGCAATTTTTCCTTCCCAAGACTTTGAGTAAACAATTTCAAAATGTTACTCCATCTGTCAATGTTTTCTGAAAACAGTACAAACCTTCTTTTTTATCTTCTTGAGTAATCTTCACTTTTGTATCTGTTATATCTTTGAATGAGGCCAGAAAAAGTACCACATCTCCTTTCTCATTCTTTATAGGAACAATATCCAAGAGGCACCAAAATGGAGACCCTGCAACAGTAATAAAAACACAAATCAACCACTGCCTCCCATTTTTTTATACAGAAACCCAATTATTAATAAAAATAAAGCCCTTGTTGTTTTTCTTCTATCACACAATTCTACCTAACTCAAAAATGTATTTTCAGACTCACTAAATAACTAACCTATATGCATGTGTTTTCATTCCCAAATGAAATAATTTCTTAAAAATAGGGAATGATTTTGAACCAAAACATTGGTCTGTGCTGAGACATTTTTGCTTTCATCATTCAAATTATATTTCTTCTTTGAGCTTACTGGTATTGAAGTACTGCACTTTCTGAGAGATGGCCCCTGAGGGCCAAGCACAATGGAGGTTCCTAAATGAAGCCCTCTGTTTGATATGACTTTGTTAGAGTTTTAGTTAGTCAATTTAAAAATGAATCATCACCCATTAGAATGGCTAAAATAAAAAAGATGGGAAGTACTAAATTTGAAAGAGGATATACAGTCATTTGAACTCTCATACATGGCTGGCTGGTTTCAAACTGATACATCTAAAAATTGCTTGGCAGTCTGAAGATTTATTTTCACAATATAACATTAGACACATTACTCACAACCAGTGGATATCTAATGTTGAGCCAAAGTAGTCAAACACAAATGAGCAGAATGAAATATGAATTCATTTACATTAGGTACAAAAACAGGCAAAGCTTTCTATGGTGTGAAAAGTCAGAATAGTCATCTATGCAGGTAGAGGATATAATGATATGTATTGAAAGCTGTTGAATAATGGGGGTTGGCCCATTATCCAAACTGGCCAAAATAAAGTATACTCACAGCAAGGATACTTCGAGAATCCCATTTGAATATTAACCTTTGGAATTAAAAATGAAAGACACGACTATAAAATAGGTAGAGTTTTTGTGGGGGGCGTGTTTGTGGGGGAAGAGGGTGAACGGAGGAGATGAAAGTATGAGAATATGGTTGATGGACTCCATGTAAATATATGAAATAGAATGATGAAACCAATTGCAATTGCTTTAAGTGAGGTGGGGGGGATTTGTAGGGGGAGAAATGGTAGGGGTGATCTAACCAATGTAAAATGTTACATGTAAAATGCTATTTGGAATTGTCACAATAATCCCCCTTGTACAACAAATATATCCTAATAAAAATGAGGAAAAACATACATAAAAAATTTTAAAGTCAGATTAGTGATTGCCATTAAAGAAAAAAATGAAAGAAACACACACAGGGCAAGTTCTGAGAAGTTTCATTTCATGGTCTTTATGTTATTTATATAAGACTATTCAGTTACTTTAAAAATATATTTTACATGTTTATTGCAGTGCTATTCATAATAGCCAAGCTTTGGTAATAACCCAGATGCCCCACACTAATGAAAGAATGAAGAAAATGTGGTATATACCCAAAGTGGAGTTTTATTCAGTCATGAAGAATGAAATTATGTTGCTTGCAGTTAAATGTATGGACCTGGAGAACATCATGTTAAACAAAGTGAACCAGGCTAAAAAAGCCAAGATTGCATGTTTTCTCTTGTATGTGGAAGCTAGACCTATAAGTTATGTATATATATATATATATATATGCACATATATGATCATATATATGTGTGTATATGTATACATGTGTACATATATATGTGTATATATATATGCATGTATAGAGAGGGAACAAGACTATATTAGTGGGTCTGTCTGAAGAGAAAATGGGATGTGGGCAAGAGAGAGATAATGCTAAGAGAATGGAAAATATTGAAACAACTCATGTATATATGAATATAATGGAATGCACCATAAGATAATGAATATTAGAGGAGCATGGTGATGGAGGCCTTAATTTGATAAAAGCATGATATATACATACAGGCCTGAAGTACAGAGGTGTAACCCCCTTGGACTATCAATATACACTTTAAAAAATAAAAGAAGGACAGAAGGGTAAAATAGATCTTTACATGGGTAAGTACTAGTGGGAGGGCTAGGCATAATGAACGGGTGAGTGAGTGTGAGTACGAAGGATGTATTTTGTATTCATGTATGAAAATAAAAAAATGAAACCTGCTGAAACTGCTCTGTAGAGGAGGTAAATCTAGGATTTTTGTAAGCACATATGTAAATATTATAATGTATTGCCCTATACAACTACGTTACTCTAATAAAAGAAGAAAAAATATTTTAAAAAATATTCTAAAAAAGAAATTAGTAAGAATTTGTTTTCAAATCACTGCCTGGTCATAATTAAAATGTTCAATACTTCTTTAAAAGCAATATTTTTTAGAATTTTATTTTATTAACTTATATATAATGCATAAATTTCCCTCACAATACATAAACACATTTATACTTATATATGTAAAATATGTACATTTTGGGCATTGGGAAACACTTTAATACTTTGACTAATGGGTACAATAGGAAAAAATTACATGATTATTACTTGGGAAATAGGCTTTACTATAACACAGAGTAGATGAAGCCATTTTAAGTTAATATTTTCAAATAAAAATGTTTGAAAATATATTGTATACTAAAAAAGATCATATTTTTAAGAAACAAGAATCAAATTCTCTTTTTTGAGCAAAAGAGCCATGAGGAATATGGTATCCAAAGGTCTTGCCTGAAGGTGATATTCTTAAATATTTTTATCTATTAAAAATATGTAGTTTTAAAATACTAAAATTTACTAAAAGGCATTCTGGACAATAACATTTGAAAATTATTTATTAACTAAAAATAATCTACTCATATTTCCTTTTTGTGATGGGGAAATAATTCAATAATGTGAATTTCTTTTTAAATTATATATAGACATATACATTTTATTAGCATATATTGATTGTATAAAAGGGTTTGATTGTGATATATTCATATAGTGTACTTTGGTCATACTCACCCCGTTACTCTTCTTATCCCCCTTCTTTTGTTGTAGTTTTTAATGGGTTTCATCATTCTATTTTTGTGCATCTATATAATGTGCTTTGATCATATTCACCCCCATTTCCATCTTATTTGTGAATTGATTTCAAAGTCAGGGTATAAAACAAAACAACAAAGTCAAAAATATCTTTGATATTTTGACTTCCTTTGTATATGCTGAATTAGATATCACAACTTCCAACAAAGATGACATTCATCTAGCTTTGGGATCTACCATTTTTTTCTTTAGTCAAACACCACATGAAGCAGTTGATTTACAGTTAGAGACCATTTGATATAAAAATCATATTTATTGAAGTTTCTATTGCATTTTTGAAAAGTGTGAGTGGCTTTATCTGCAATAAGTGTTTATGATATGCTGCTATCATAAAGCAGTCATAGAATACCCTGACTATTATAAAATATGTAGAAAATGTAATAAAGTATGCCTGCTCCCTCATATCCTCCTGAAAGTTTCAGAGTCATTGTTTCTCCTTCCTCTTTTGATTCAGATCTGTGTTTTCCCCTTTTAGTGATCTGCCCCAGAGATCTCACATCATGCCCCACCAACAGGCTCCAGGAAACCTGAAATCTAACCATGACTCTAACACTAGCCATGTGACCATGGGTGGTTCCCTCCATTGCAATAGTCTTCTATCCACATGTAGTAGTGTAGCTAGTAACCCAAAAACCATTAAGATGACAAATCAGTTCTACTATCTAATGGAGAAACTTCATAAATGAACTGTATCCCTGGTCACTGTTCTCTCTCCATCATCCCAGAGTGGATCTTATTTCAAATTTTAACTATGGTTACCATTTCAAGATGGAATACTTTTTCTCTAATGCTATCATTTTTGTCAAAAACAAAAAAAGCCACGAGGTAACACAAACAATAGTGGGGATGCAGGGAATGGTATAAATCTGATATTTGCTTGATATTTTAACATATCTCAGTCTATTACCTCACAAGAATGTCACCAAATCATAACAAAGTCTATTTTGTCTATGCACTCAGGCAAGCATCATTATTGTCTCTGCAGAGCTTTTCCCAGGTGTACCAATGTACTTTGCAAAGAAGGAAAAACATGAAATGAGTGAAAGCCAAGGACATTGCTAGCAACCTGGGAGAAGTCTCTAACCAGCAGTTTATGCACAGCTTTCATTTCATTATGTTCTAGGAGAGTTGAAAGTTTACTTGGAAACTTGCTCTTTAAATTATAAGATGTCATCTTTGACATTTTGTAAATTCAGTATGACTTTGATAATATAGGTCTCTCTAAATTTGAGTTTTATAAGGATTTGGCACAAACAGAAATGATGGCTACATTTTCAGTGCCTATGTGACAAAAAATGTATTGTTTGACAATCAATTCAGGTTGTAATATACCTGTGCATGGAAGCAATGCTAGGAATCTTTCTATATAGCTATCCTTATCTCGACTAGCAAAAACACTGTATCTTTCTTATTATTGCTTATGTCTTCTCTTCAACAAAACTGGAGAAGAGGGCAGAACACGTTCTGCCTGGAAGAGAGAGGGTTCAGGGGGGAAAGGAGGGGGGTGGGGGTAGGGGAAGAAATGGCCCAAACAATGTATGCACATATGAGTAAATGAATAAATTAAAAAAGCTTTATTTTTTATTTTTAATGGCAAATATGTGTAACCTTTGCTTTGCAATTATGACAGTATAAGGAGCATATAAGCTTATTTCTACCTTCCTTTCTCTCTTTCTTCCTCCCTTCCTTCCTCCCTTTGTTCCATCCTTTGTTCCTTTGTTCCTTCATTTGTTCCTTCCTTCCTTCCTTCCTGTCGTCCTTTCCTTCCTGCCTTCATGTCTTCAAGACTATTCCCCAGGGTGTGTCTTCTCCTGTCTTACCTGTGTGCCCAATGATGATCAACTTCTTTCAGTCAAGAGCAATTCAAGGGAATAAGTCTAATAATTCACTCTAAGAAGTCTCTTGTAGAGTTCGGGTGGAATTTAGCAAGGTCCCTCAGCCTTGAATTCAGAGATGTGAATGATCCTTAAGAGCAGGGTTAAAGGCACAAATCTTGTGTCAATTTTAAATCCTTCTGTATATAGCAA